GAACTCAGAATTCTGAGACTTTTCTGACTCTAAAATGGGTGAGAATGTTTACAAGGACCCGACACCATAGATTGCTTGTGTGTGTATTAACATATTCTATTTCTAAATAACTTGCTCCAAAGATTTTAGAATGGTATTGCATGGGGTTTTGATTGCATATTTTTTTGATTAGCATACTCAAGAAGATGTGTTCATACATACATACAGTGGCGGATTTAAATATTTGCCGCCCCTAGGCAATTCATAACTTGCCGCCCTTTTTTCACGAAAAAAAAAAAATATATATATATATCAAATATGATTGTTATTGTCAGTGCTTTATTACAATACAGTTCGTTAATAATGAAATACATAACGGAATTAACAAATTNCATGGATAAGGTATTTTAACAAAAACCCTCTTTCAAACACTTCTTTTTCACAGTTCTTTACGTCTTGATTTTTCAGCTGCGAATTCGCGGATAATATCTTCACAATCGATAGATAGAAACAAATCTGACTCTATAGTCAGCAACGCAAGAGCATTCAGTTTGTTTTCGCTCAATGAAGATCTGAGATAGTTTTTCACGCGTTTTAAAACAGAAAACGATCTTTCTGCGCTACAATTGGAAATAGGAATTGAAACAAACATCCGCAACGCAATTTCAACATTAGGGTAAGAGATCTGCAGATTATCCTGTCTCAGCATTTTCAACAGTTCCAGAGGAGAATAATTTAAAATCTTCTTTTCGGTGCAGTATGCCTTGAAAAAGACCATTTCATTTCCCAAATTTTCCTCAAGATCTTGGGTGTAGTATTGGCTCAATATGATGGATTTTTCACGTAATTCTTCGTTGCTCAGATGTTTCATATCAGTGATGAGAGAAAATTTCGAATAGATTTTTTGATACGCCTCACGTCTCCGTGTCAATTCTGTCAAAGTACGGTCCAAGATAACGTTGAATGTGTTGACACGAAAGTTGTCTCGGCCACTCAATTGGATACTATTGTCCCTATTTTCACCAGGTTGTAGATTCTGATTCCTTCGACGCTGCCTGAGTGTTTTGTATTCCTGAATTGTAGAAATAGAGAGAGCTTTCTCTTCATATTGATCGAATTCTTCGCGAGTGTCAGACACAACTTTAATGAGTCCGTTGAACAAAGAGATCACTTCAGAAATAGTCGTATTCACATTTTGCAATTTCTTGCTGACTGCATTGAATGATGTCAATAAGAAGCTCCATAAACCTTGCATAAATGCAGTCTCCAAAAGTTCTAGTTGAATACGTATTCCTGTAGCTTCGTTCCTTGTAATTGCATTTTCATGTGGGTCTTCTTATGATACACTTATGAAAAGCTGGTGGGCTTGGAATCAAGATCTTTCTCGAAAATGCACGCTCGTTTTTCGGCAGTGTTGTCAAGTGTGGTAACCTTTTAGATGATTCTCGTTCTCGGGGCAGCGTGTCGGCTGTTTCTTTGCGTCACGCGCAGGCGCGCCGTCAGGTTTCTAAGCCGCGTGAATGAAAGTTAAATGGAAATTTCAACGACTGCTATACTAAGGAAAAATTCGCAGCGTAATTCTAATTTTGAATTGTATTGAATGAGATGAATCATTAATAATATTTTACAGACACAAACACAATTTCAAGTGCAGCTGAATCCAAATAAATTTTTTTCTTTTAATTTAGCTGTCTTAAATTTTGCCGCCCCTTAATTCTGCCGCCCTAGGCTTCAGCCTATGTTGCCTGTACGATAAATCCGCCACTGCATACATATATATGTACATACCAACTGGGAAAATAGGTAAGCACCTTGCGGTGTAGGCCATGTTTTTTTTTATTTTTTAGTACCAAAATTGTCATCATGACCAATGTCATCTACTAGTAAAGCACAAAATGAACACCTCCGACGACACATTTCGTTATCAGTTGTAAAATAACGTGCCACCGAAGTTATTTCCAAGCGCCGAACTACTCCGAGCGACTGCTCTACGTTCTACGTAACTTACTTTATAAAGCGGCTCAGAAATATGTCTGATACCAAATGTACATTCTAAATTATTGCTTACATANAAATATGTCTGATACCAAATGTACATTCTAAATTATTGCTTACATAAGGTGGCCATGTCTTTGTTAAAGTAAGGGAGATTCGTCAGTGAAGTGGTAAGGACTGCCGGGTGAAGTGTAAGTTGCTGATAAGGTGTCTATTACTGACGGATCTCCCTTACTTTAGCAAAGACGTGGTCGCCTTATGTAAGCAGGAATTTAAAATGTACATTTGGTATCAGACATACTTCTGAGCCGCTTTACAAAGTAAGTTACCTAGAATGCTTGGAAATAACTTAAATTATTCTTCATATCCATGAGTTCCCCTAATCAATTTCATATAAGGAAACTACATAAAATGTTTTATAATTTTATAATTTTATTTTATTTGTGCTTAATTTTGCTTTTGATTATGTTGTTGTGCATACACATACACATGAACGTGGTGATGGCTTATATTCAACATCGCCTATCTGCAATTTTCCGTGGTCGGGCCATTACCTCGTCGATTATAGTAATGCATTTTAAGCTGTACCACATTTTTTTTTTGAAATGTCAGCTAGGCTACTGTTGCTCTCAAGGCCTCATATATAAATAGATGTACTTAGTTACGTAGACTCGACTGTCGTGAAAACGTTAACATCAATGTCACGTCTACGCCTACGTTACCGGAACGACCCAGGTTTATATCTGGCCAAAGACTTTCCCTCCAGCAACACTTCTCAAGAACTCTTTGAGGAATTTGTATGATGTTAGACCAACAACAACAATAGCATGAGTCGCATTAGAGCTAGATAGGGAACTCAAGAGAGGTGTGAGAGGATATTTTGTATAAGCTATGCATTACATACTTAACCCTTCGTCGGGCGCAACTGATCTGTGAGCCACAGCCAGCACATTTTTTTTTTTACTTCGCCGTGCCCTTTTATACCGTTAACTTTGCTGACGCTCAGTAGCTGCCTCTTTTAAAGTGCTCTATACAGCAAAACCAGTCAGTTTTTGTTTGACTTCCAGAACGAGAAGTTATGTAGAATTTGATATGAGGAGCTTATTGCGCCCGAACTAGTCAATTGTATTAAATTAATTATTTTTAGAATTATTATGTTTTTATTTTTAAATTTTATTGTTCATCTAAAAGTAGCTGTTATGTACATGTCCCAGAGTTGAATCTTTATGGAATGTTTGCATTTTTTTTAACTATTTTACGTTGTATGTTTTGCCTTTTGATTTTTTAATTTTATTTTAAGATTTTTGTAGTAGCTGCTAAATTTATGTCAAATAAATGGATTTTTACGAAAATGTTTACATTTATTTCTTTTCACCATGCCTAAATGCCGTGCCAGTATTCCCCAGATGTATAAACAAAATAATTGTTTGTTTAGTATGTGTTTGTTAAGCACATTGCGCCCGAAATTGACGGTCACCATATTGCGCCTGACGAAGGGTTAAATTAGAAATTGACGTGCACGTTTGTAAAATAAGGTTAATCTTTTTTTTTTTGATTTTTCAATACGTAGTTTGCAGTGTATTCTGCAAGCGGTCACCTATGTACATATGTATGTACGAGTATGCAGTTTTAAAAATTTTTTAGTAACGCAAGATTAGATTACGCTATTTGTTATGAATTTTGTTTCCACTACACTACACTACACTTTTTGGGCTAAATAACACTAATAACAAAGTTTTAAATTTTTACCATACATATTGCGAAAACAAGCAAATGCATTTTCGAAATTTTAAAAGAAAACAAAATTCTTTATTTAACAATTTTTTGCATTAGTATAACTTTCAGAGAATTCAATTGTATGTAAACTGTGTGCCCACATTTATAAAGTTTCTTTACTCAATTTAATAATTCAAAACGTTTTCTTTTTTTTTTTTTGTTTAGCCACATTTAATTAATTAATTTTTCAACAGCCAATTACATAGATACTTACATACATAAATACATAATTTTTTATATTTGAGATTTCATAAATATCATCATTGGGTTTGTATTGCTATCATAGTAAGTAGTAGTTGCGACATTTTTGCCATCACTAAGTGCGCGAAGGGGCGTAGCTTGAAAGTGTGCACGGCTCTTAAAGCTCTCCGAGCTAAGTTTACGTACATACATACATAATGTAATAAAGTAATTTTTCACTATTTACATAATTGCTTTTTCTCGCATGGCGTTTCTTAAGCAAACCTACACTATTTTTCTAATATATCTAAACTTAAAATAAAATAAACATTTTTATGTAAATTTAATTTATAGTTACTTAGTTTTTCATTTGATACGACTAGAACAAGAAATTGCATTGCTGCAGCAGTAATGCTTGTATATAAATACAAACTTTTTTTTTTAAAGAAAATTTGACTAGCTTTTTATTTAATTATAAATAAAAAAGTTATTGATGTACATACATACATACATATAATTATTTGTATTTTATACAAAAATGTACTACTAATATTTACTAAAATAGAGTTTAAGTGAAGCCACATTGCATACATTTGTACATATTCATGGGTTACTTCTATTTTCCTCATGGAATACATTCAACCAAAGGAGAAAAAAAATAGTGCTTTGTTGCAACGCTTAGTACTCTTTTGTTTTTGGTAAGACTTTATCCAGAATTTTAGCATACATCTACACACATATACAGTCAGCGTCAAAAATATGCATACCCTCTCGTTTTAAAAATTGTATTTATTTATATATTGCATAGACAATTTTTTAAGTTTTTTATAAAAATATAGTTCATTCAACAGAAAAACCTACAGGAATCAATATACATATTTATATTTTGCATAAAAAATTTTTTAATTTTTTTTATAAAAATATAGTTCATTCTACAGCAAAACCCAAAAAAACTTTATATAGAACTCGTGGAAAATGCAGCAAATACCAAGAAATTTTCATTGAAATTTAAAATTTTTTAATTCTATTCTTAGAAAAATTTTAAGTATGCATGCAGTTTTGTAGCCCATTAAATTTTAGTATAATAAAGTGCAAGTTTCAAGGCGCCCAAAATTAGCAATGATTTTTGAAATTTTTTTTCGCAGAGGGTGTTGCTTCATATAAAAGAGAAGAAACATTCTGCATGGTAAATATAAATAAATAAAATCGTTAAAACGTCAGGGTATGCATATTTTTGTCGCTGCCTGTATGAACGTAGACTTTATTTACTCGTTTGTTTTCCTTTAATAAGTTTTAATATAAATAGATCTTTAATCTTTTAATTTCGTATTGCTGATATTTCGACCCCAAACGCTTTTGAAAACCAAAAAATAAAAATATAAAATTTTTTATTTTGACTTTCTTGCATTAGCCGAATCCTTATTCCTATTTAAAATTTCATCTATTTTCTTTTTGATCCAGTGTTTCATTCATTTTCATTAAAAATTTTGATTCGTTTATTTACTTGTTTGGTTTTTTAGCTCTTTTTTTCCCTTTTCTCTGCCTACTCTACTTTTGCGAGAAGCACATAACATCCATGCACAACTCAAAAAATGCTTTTCTTTGCTGTGAGTGATTGGAAAAATTTTTTACTCCAAACTCTTATCCAATTAGACATCGGTCGACCCTCCACCGCTGCTGTGCTTGTCGGTGGAGGTCACCAAATTCTAATTGGAGGACTTTCGTCACAATAGCGAGCACAGCTTGGAGCGCTTCTTTGACTTCTCGGCCGTGCCGACAGTACCCGCCGACGAGGTCGACGACGAAGCAGAAATGTGACCGGGGCCTGCTGCCGTGGGCTGTGAAGGACTTGTTGGACTTTTATCATCTAAATCTTCACTCACATGAGTGTCTAATAGCTTGAAGGATGATTTTTGTTTGACGCCATCCATGCTGTTGTAGAGCGTTTTTGTTAGCTTCGAACGCACCGCTTTGCCGAGCGCGCCGGTCTTTTTGATACTCAGTCGTGTGCTGCCGCGATGGTGTTCCGGCGTGGAGGCATCATCGCCATGCTGTTGTTGCGGATGACAATTGAGTGTGGTCACCGTGAATTCAATATCCTTAATCTCCTCATCGGCGCAACCTGGTTGGGAAGAATGGAGCGCGTGTATGTATGTTGTAGTACATATATGGAAGTATTTGCGATTATGTTGAAAAATTTTAAATGGACCTACCGGCAAATTCCTCCACTGGTTTATCAATCGTATCATGATCTATCCAAGTCAAACCCATTTCCACTTTCTCAGCTAAGTCTTGCCAATTGCGTCGATTTTCTAGCGTGCCTTCATACAGTGGTGTTATCCAGGGAAAAGTGTCGCAAAGAACGCGATATAGCGGCAAGCAGATGACGTCTATGAATCCTACCTGCATTTTGGGCAATTCATCTTTGCGCTCACTGCAAAAGTTGGCCATAAAAATGTCTGCCTCGAATTTTCCTCTTCTCTTTACTCACCGATCCATCATTGCGATTGGTTGTGTGTTCAATTGTAGCTTCTCTAGATCACCTTGATCGAAAAATTCATCTGCAACCAGCTTGGCTAGTCGATGCTGCACCTCCCAAGGCTTTGCTATGGCACTCACGTCACAGGCGGTCATCATCATGCCGCATAACACTGCAAAGTTATTCAAGTTAGCTTCAAGTTTAATCGAAAATCGGGCACGACACAAAATTGCGACTTACGCTCCTTCTTCTCTTCACTCTGCCAATCGAATTCGCCATTTTCCACGAGCTCCAGGAAAGCATTACGCTTCTTAAAATACATCGCCAGATCGGTGGAGAGTATAGCATTTTCCACGGTTTTCATAACAGAGCGATAGTCCTCGGGCGAAAGTGCCTGATAGATAACAAAATAAAATTAGGTATTTATGGTTCCAGAATGAACGAAGAAGTAGGAGCTGCGTTTTACTGGTTCAAACAGTCCTTTAAGCTCCCGGACTACTGTAATATTTTTAAGCCGAAATTTTGGCGATAAATCCGCAGACTAAGCGGCTAAGCTATAGTCAGGGGAGCAGCTGCTACCTACTCGAAGAACGTCATGCATTGTAAGGAACAATAGGAAGGTTGACAAAGGTGTCTTACTGAATGTAAACCTGTAGTCTTATTGTATATTTAAGGAGGTCTTGCCAGACGATTCCAGCGGATCGCTCTGACGCTTAGCACTGTGATTTATATCTTGCCAGTAAAATTTGATGGCAAAGTTGTCGAGGTTATGTTAAGAAGCTCGGCCTATAAGTTTAATTCAAACCCCGAGCAATCCAAAATTTTTGTTGGAAACGCAGCCACTTGTTGGTCTAAGCAGATCCTTATACACCCTTATGCGCTCAAGATAGAACTGCGTTGGATGTACGCTGTGGAATCAGACCCTAGTGAAACATTTAAGGAATGGTTATATGTAGGATGGTTAGTTTGGGTTTAGAGGTGATTCATAAGACCTGGCTATTTCTCGTGGTGTTACCAAGCCTAGCGGTTATCTTCCAGAATTAGTGCCGAACCCACTATGGGGCTTGCATTAATGTTTTTGAATGCGTCCTCTATGTCTAAAAATGCAACCAAAGCATACCATTCATCTTATAATTTCTTTTCGAGCAGCCTGAGAAGCTAGTGTAGAGCGCTTTTCGAGATTTTTCTGCACTGGCGAGACGCTACTAAAATATTTAGGAGGAAAAAGGTCAGCCTTGGGGGTCTAAAGACTTTGGTGTGCGAAAGGGCCTCACTAACTTTCGTCTCTCTCCAGCCTAGCGGAATATAGCCCATGTTAAGACACTAACCCACTGTTACCTTTAGCTCACTTTTGTATAATATGTAAATCTCACCTGAAATATATTATTGCCTTCCGAATTTAAAATCATTACACACTGATCGAAGTGGTGATGCTCCATGGTGCTTGTCGTATACAAAATAGCCAATGGTGATTCGGTTTTGGTTTGAAATGCATTATTTGTGCCACGATGATCGAGATCGTGACACAAACAGGCCACCAGGAGACCTAGTATTTCCAAGTCAGTCATGAAGCGTTCCATTTTGCCAGTCTTCAGCATAGCGAACATAGTTTGAGCCACGTTGAGTGCATGACGCCAATTGTGGTATTTAACGGGACGGTAATTCTTGCGTACACTCAACACCCAACGGCAAAGTACCTGAAAAGAAACATATGATTAGCTTAGAAATGCACCGCTGGGAGTTACGAGTCGCCGTCTCACTTCATAGGGTATTTGAAATTGTGCGACTAGATTGCATTGTAGAAACATGCGCAAGACAGCGCGACAGGTGTCATCATCACAGAGATTAAAGTCTGCCGAAAGGGAGGGAAAGAGATGATCTCTAAGAATTAAGCATCTTCAGATTTATGAACTTCCAAAACTTACCAATAAACTTAAAACTATAAAGATCATATTTTTCGGCCGACTCAATTTTATCGCTGACCAGCTTGTTAGTATGCTCCGCACTAGCGGTCGCATGATAAGATAAACATTCCAATGCCACCTTCTGCTTGGCCATTAGTTTGCAAGCATTCTCATACATTTGCGTATTGTGTATGCCCAGGCCACAAAATATAGCGAAAGCTTCGAAAATTGAAACATCTGAGTCGGTAAAAGGCAGACCAGTGCTCTAAAATGATAAAAAAAATCAGTATATTTTTTTCTTTTCCATTTTTTCGATTACTACATCTCGATCAGTGCCTTACCTTATTGATCAGCTGCGCCACACCTATTACCGTTTTTTGCGCATTCGCTATCGGCATACATAGAATCGCCTTCGTGGCGTCCATCTCGTTCTCAGTACGGATCTGATTATGCTCGCGCACCCACTCATGTACATCGCTAATGTTTACCGTCTGACCGGTTGTCGCAACAAATTGTGCAATCTGCGCCAACGTGGAATTGCATAGATCATTGACGGAGGGACGAGAAATGTTGGCCGATTGATTGGAGGCGCCCAGCTCGAAAAGCACCGTAAAGCGGGTGCGCGTCTTTTGCTGTGCGGTGCCGTGTGGGAATTGCAAAAGCGCATACAAGAAACACTTTACTCAAAAGAGACTTATTCTATTTGCTTCTTACTTACCTTGTCATCCTTTTCATCGTCCTCAACATCTTTAATGGCGCGAGTTAATCGACTTTGAAGTTGATTTGGCTTTTCAATAATCTTCTCCAAGTGACTCTGTAATTAATACCAAGAATGGTGTATAAAATTTATGCTGTCCACTAAAATTAGGTTCTCTCCTCCTACCGCTTCACAGCAATCCAAATCCACTAAAAACACCGCGCATCTTTCGCATTTCAGCAACTCACGCGCTTCAGTCATAATTTTCGTTACCAAGCATTCCAAATTGTTTTGCTCTTCGAATATGTTGCGCGCCAAGCTCAAAAGTATTTGATTGCGTCGATATTCCTGGACGGACATCTCGAATAGTTGGGCATTTTGTATGCCAATGCCACAAAAGGTCAGGTAACGACGAAAGATCTCTACATCATGGTCGCTAAATTCCATGGAACCTGTGAAAGTGTTGAGATAGACAACGCATGATTTTTGTTAAGCGATTTTAAATAGGTGATGATTCAATATACATATATTCGACGACAAATTCCGCCAACAAATTTACGTGCCCTTCAAATCGAAACTGTTTTTTTATAAGCTGAATATTTCACGACACGAATATACCAGACCACCAAGGGTTGACGGAGTACCTAATAAGGCCTTAAAGTTACGATACACTCAAGGCCGGTCTTACTTATAAAAATGTTTCACACATACACATTTCCGAGTAAGTAAATGGAAAATCAAAAACCGGATAGACCGCCATAATGGAAACGCTCTTTAAAATGGAAACTGCAAACTATATCACAAGAATAATTAGGAGCTATCTATCAGACCGCTAGCTAACGTCCTAAAGCGATAGGATATCTGTGCGGTACAGCGTAGCGTCTCGGTGGGGGTGCTTCCGGGAGCTGTTCTCGGATCGCTCCTTTGGAATATAAAGTATGGCGGTAGTCTGCGTATCGATATGCTTCCTCGTACAAATATGGATTTTCAGATGATATCGCCGTTGTGGTCGTAGCGGANATTTTAGCTTTTTTGCGATGTCGTTATGGAACATGCTGGGATTTTCCAGCTTTTTGCGCAATATTAACTCGCGATCGATTTCTTTCTTGGTCCTCGTTTCTACACTGATTTTTGTTACTAAAAAGAAATGATGCAGTAAGGTGGAAAATGCTTCCAGCTTTTTAAGTGTCTACCGATTTTTATTTTAATGTTATGATTAACCGAGCCATGCTTGGTTATGTGCGACCAGTTTTTTTCGTGTACATTCTTTATCTAGGAAATTGAGACCAAAGCTAACGAGACTATAAAAGGTATGCAAGAGGAGGAGTAGGAATTTAAGCCTCGCGGATCACAAAACAAAGGGAGTTTTAGTAAACAGCAGGAAAACCGCAGACACGATAAGATTTAACGGTTGGTCCGAATCCACCACATCCAAGTCCACAATTAAATATATGGGCGTTATGATTGTTGGCCGAATAAATTTTAAGACCCAACTCGAGTGTGCTTCCAAAAAGGCTTTGAATGTTCAAGCACATCTATCTAGATTTACGCCTAATAATGGTAGTCCTAAACATACTAGAAGAATATTTTACAGTAGGGAGGTCAGCTCAGTTTTACTTTATACTGCTCCAATTTGGGTAAAATGTAACATCTGCGTATCGCTTAAGTACATTGAGAACTGTGTGCGGATTCCGAACATTTTCTGATGAAGCGTTCTTTGTAATGTCAGTATATTTTCTCGTACCGCCTTTACAACGTTCAAAATCGCAAATTTCGAGGAAACTGTAATTTACACTAGGCGGTAATTTAAACGAACTATTGTAAGCTAGTCAAAAAAACTGTAATTTACAGACTGAGGTTTTTCGAGGACAAGTTTTGTGCTCCAAAATGACTGGTAAACTTCCCAACCAAGAGGATTTTGTTTTAATGACTTTTCTCTGCCGACATCGAAAATTTTACAACAAAATAACAGTTGTATTCTTTCTGCATTTACCAACTAATCTTTTTCTCAACTTACCATTCGTTTTATTGATAATTTGTGCTACTCCAATAACATCACCTTCGTAATTACAAATGGGCATCGATAATATTGCATTCGTTTTATAGCCAGTCTTTAAATCTATCTCACAGTTGAAACGTGCATCCTTGTATGCTTCCTTTATGTTGATCGTCTCCTTAGTTTGCGCCACCATGCCGGCAATGCCAACGCCGAACGGTATTCGTATCTCTTCCAATTTAGCCTTCTTAACAGCATCCTTGAGCGCTGCAAACGACAGATGGCAAAATCAGTCAACAGAAAAAATTTTAGATAACAAATAAATCAGTGCATTTATTGTAAGAAAAAAAAACATTGGCAAAGAGGCAAAAGAAAAATATTTATTTTCACTTTTATTTCAATTCGTGCTTTTGCCCCTTGTGATTTGCTCTTCGACTTCATTTGCATGCAACGTCGAGTTCAAATTGCCACACAGACACAGACACAGACAAGTTATTGTNCCTTGTGATTTGCTCTTCGACTTCATTTGCATGCAACGTCGAGTTCAAATTGCCACACAGACACAGACGAGTCATTGCGAGTATTACGAAAAGTAGTAGTGTCGGCTTACCTGTCTTTTGTGTCACATCGAAGAGCTTTGCAACCAGGTATTTATTGTTCGGTGGTCCCTTGGCCAAAAACAATGAGCCACGATCTGCATGAGTAAGCAGCCCCACATTCACGAGAATTTTATGACACAGCACATCAATGTCCAATTCATTGGCCACATCACGAATCAACTCCATGAATAGTTCACCTTCATCCAATTCCATTAAATGTCGTCGACTATCCAGTACTGAATTGCCAGAGGATGTGGACAGTGAGCGAGATTGGGATTTCTGCTTGTGTAGCAAACGGAAGACAAAAGAAGTAAATATTAAATGGAAAATGGTAAATGGAAAATGCATATCTGTGACTGGGTTTAAAAGCAAAGGGCAAATAAAGTGAAAGGTAAATAGAGCAGTTGTATGGTATTCATATGATACGAACGAAAAAATGCTTGTGTCATGGATTACATTTCAGTTTAGCACTGAGCTTAAAGAAACCAATTATTCATGCATATGTTGTTACTGAGAAACTGTGATCTTATTGCAATTCAAATAGGTTTTCTATTTGTGTGCCAAAAAATGTTTTACACTCTTCTCATTGCTTATCCTTTTAAGTAAAAGTTTTTTTCATGAGCTTAATTGGCTTTAGAAACTTCCGTGTGCTTTAGAATAAAAATATTTTTTCAGATATTCGTCTAAACGCCTTGCCTTAATGAATTGTAAGTTTACGGTCCCGTAAACTTTCTTGTATCCAAAGGAGTTTAGCCCAATCAGCATATACTCCTATTGAAGAGCCGCGACAGTCCAATTGACCTGGTCTTTCGCAGAAGTAGATCAGTGCAATCCGGCTTACACACTATTACTTCAGGTATACATTGAAAACCAAGACTTTGTGTTTGGTGCCTTCCTCGATATTGAAAGTAAGAGCTCTATCTTAGCTTGTAGTCGGGAACAACCTGCTATGAGAACTGTCCAACTTATGGTGAGTAGATGTTCCTCGAAGGAAGGAAAGGTTTATAGCTCACGCGAACGACGTGGTACTCATCGTCAGAGCAAGGGTTTTGGGCACATTGTATAATCTTATGGAGGCCACTTAGTCGAGGTCGGGCTTGACCCCGGGAAGGATGCTATCTTGAAAAGCGAATATTGATGAGCAAGTAAGAAAAGGATCCAGGTGCTCTACATTACTATGAAAGCGCTATGGGAAGTCAATTTTGTTGCATGAGGTCATTGAGGTCTAATGAAGTGCACTAGAAAGGTCGACATTCGTGAGAAGATTATACCAAACCGCGAAATAAGACATTGTGGATAGTGTTGCCGCAGTCTGCTCCGTCATGAGGCTAAGTATCACTGGTTGCTACTTCTGAAATATTTAAAACTTCCGACTTCACACCTGAAGAAACAGATCGGTACGCATCAAGGCTGGTTCTAATTGAAAACTTCTCTACACACATTCCTCTAGCTGAGGGGCAACGTCTGCAACAGGGGTTCAGTCAAGTGAGATGATAGAACGCTTTGTTACTCTTAAGTTTAGGCTGCCAAAGTGTTCGGTAGATAGGGGTGGCTACGTACTGGCGAAATATGTAAAGATCAGAAGAATAAAAAATAGCAACTGGTCGGAAAATGTTTGCCATTTTATCGGTCGTCTCGGATTATATTCAAATCAGAAAGACAGGGATATTGCAGGAATTGCGTAGATGATTAATTGACTAGGCAGGGAACGCTTGAGGTCATCTATCCAGACAGGGAGGGTATCTGAGTTCCAGTGACAGCCTGCGTACTGATGAACTCAGTCGATTCAGCAAGCGCTGGTCGAAAGCTTTGACATGCTAAATTTGCATAGTCCTTCTCGATAGCGGAAACTTCCGCAGCTAGCTAGCACCTAATCTTAGATCTAATAGAACTCCTGACTGGACTCAATCCGTTAGGAATCCATGCGGTACAATATAATTTTGCATTGGACTACAGCTGTGTTTTTTTTTTCAAGAAAAAGGTTTAAAAATCTCGACTGGTAACTTGGCTGAAGAACTTGCAAAAATGGAAATTAGCTAGTTGTGGAACTTAAGTTTGGGCGCCCAGTGCTTTTACTAAAAACTTCACATGAATTTCATACAGTTATCGTTCCAAGAAAATTGTCCAAAAGTTAACTCAATGGACAACATAAGAAATGTGTAAGTGAGTCGCGCCTGCCCCACACAACCTTACCTATGCTCCAAATTAAACCTAAAAACTTTACTCATCTGTTTTCCGGTAAAAATTTTACTTATTTTAATTATGGTAAATCACTAAAAATAATTTCTGGTATACACTTGAACGCAGTGCTCAATGCCGCTTAACTTTTGTAAAGTTTAAATGTACAATAACGGTTCAATGGTAATACTCGAAACACTCGCATGACAGATCTACTGATAGCCCATCAATAATAAATAAAGCCAGAATGTCGAGTAAAAGTTTTTCGAAGTTTTCGTTGCGAGGTCACGTGTCTCGTGTTGGCTGCTGATTGTTTTCAATGCAACGTCAATAAAAGTCGGAAATAAATGGATTTTTTTTTTTTTTTTTTTTTGTTGAAAAAACTGTACGCGTGGGCACGCAAACAAATAAAGTACGCGTATTTTTTAGTAAATGTTTTTGCAAATACAGTTACGACTTTTTTTTGATTCACTGACAGTATTGAATTGCGGTTACATTGGGAATGTTGTTGTTGACTCATTTTGAGACTAACAATAAGTGCATGTAGTTCACAAGGTTATTTCAAAATTGTAAATTGGGTTACAACATTTTAGAGGACTTGAGTTGAAATAAGTACCGAAACTTCAATTAGTTAGTGATGCGATTATGTTTTTCTAAATTGTTTGAATAATGCAATGCATTTGAAGTCTTTAAAGCGATAGTGCAATTCTTAAATATCTGTGAATTATTGGTCTCCGTTAATGGTAGGAAATTAATAGGAGGGCAATTTGAAAAGTTAGTGTTATTTTGCATTTCCCGCGCAGTAAATTTAAATGCAATACCGTTCCTGTAAACTCTCATCGATTAACAGACTACTGTAAAATTTAAAAGCCTATTAACGACGAAGAAAAATGGCCGCCGAGATCTTGCGGTTCGACACCATTGAACTATTCTCTGTGAGGTCTATGACGGAGCGGGCATTAAACGGATGTAGTGTTTCATACACAAAGGCCATAGCCAAAAAACATGATAAAAAAATAATTTCGACAAAAGTATTTACAAAATAAAATCTGCAGTCTTATTGTATCACACTGTAGTATGCTCTGTATAATATGCGTAAGATTCCGGGCTAACACTGATATTTTTGAAAGCTATGATATTTTTGAATCTTAAAAGCTGAAATAAGTAGTGTGAAATCTCAATTTAAAAATCCGATAATAAACGCGATATAAGAAGACTAGCTATGTATGCGTGTTATAACTAATTTTAAAAGGCTTTTGTGAAACTGAGAAAATAGCTCACCTCTTAAAAAATAATAAATAAAATGCATAGTATACTATGCTCACGTTTTTTATGGTACGTATAAAATGTTAACACGCCACTCAGCAGACATTTTATTTTAAAACTATCAATGAAGACTGTAACAACTTGCCAAGCAACGTTGCTCAAACAACTCGTAAATTTTATGAATAAACTTTATGAATTGCTTGTTCAATTTGTTCTATGTACATATGTATTTTGGCCAAAAGTGCTATAAAGCGCAACAAATGCAAAGCAAGGCGGAAAGCAAGAAACCCGCCAACCGGAAGCCACATAAAAACACACATTCAAGCAACAACAACTGGCGACACACCAAGTAGAAAATATCAACAGCTGCCGGCGAATGCAACTTTATGGCCAATAGTTATGAAAATACATACATACATACATACATACACTTATTTATATATAAAATTTAATGGCTGTATNACACACATTCAAGCAACAACAACTGGCGACACACCAAGTAGAAAATATCAACAGCTGCCGGCGAATGCAACTTTATGGCCAATAGTTATGAAAATACATACATACATACACTTATTTATATATAAAATTTAATGGCTGTAAAGGTTTATGCACTGTTCGTAAATAACGGTTAAATTTTAAAGTGTTACGCAAGCAGAGCGAGTTGTTCTATGTACTGTAGTTGTTTTTAATGCTCGCTTAATGTTTTATTTTGTTGCTATTGGGAAATTGGCTTTGCACACGTACATATGTATGCACATTAGGGTGGTCCAAAAATGCATGTAAAAAAGGCAACATCGGAATTTATAGGCTCTCACCGCTTAGAATGGTTCTATACTGAAAAATATACCGGAATTTTTTTTTTTTTAATAAAAAAAATATTTAAAGGTTGCTCAAAGCGCTTAAAGTTTTCCATGTATTTATTATATATGGAAAAAAACCCGCTTTTCGTAAAAATGGTATATGATTCCTGAAAATCAATATTTTTCCATCGGAAAACTCTGTTTCACTTCAGGAGATTCCCACTAATAATAATCTTTTATTTATTTAATAATTTTTTCAAAGTAACTATATTTTATAGGTCCGCCAAAATCCCCAAAAAATGCCAGCAAATGCAATAGGGAAAAATGGTTAAATAAACAATTGGGTTTTCTTGAAGAGAACCAGATTTGTCCGATCGAAAAACATTGATTTTCAAGAATTCTATACTATTTCTACGAAAAGCTCTAAATATTTCTTGATTTCAAAATAAAAAATAATAGGAGTATATTTGTTCGCTATACATAGAACAATCCCAGGGGGTGTGGACGACCCTAATGTACACACTTATGCAGTTAAAATTGGCTGCGAAGTTGCCAGGCTCTTCGCTGTTGTTAGGCATAATTTATTTTTTCGCATTTTTTCACTTATCAGCACAATATTGCATATCGTAAATGCAACGGCTGATATTAAGTGACCAGAGTTGAAGCGCACTCAACTCAGGTGTAGCCGGAGCTTAAGAGATATCGACTTGAAATTAACTGTGTGAGTGTATCTAAAATGCACTAAAAAAAGTCTACTGGAGTTAGGAAGTTAGAGCGCGTGTAAAGCGTCATCCTCCCAATCTAGCGCTGGTGGGTGAGTAGGAAGCTTTGGTATTAGCACC